ACAAGGTAAGACTTATTGAATATAAAATTTATGGACGGAAAATGAGGCGCAGTTTTTGCTATGATGGCTTAAAGTAAGCCCTACTCACATGACATGTATTTTCAGGAGTACAGCTCGGCCTTTATATTCTGTTGTAGGAAAAACTTTGTATTTCTACGAAAAGATAAAGCATAAAAGAGATTTGGCGAATTTAAAAATTAATGTTCATGAGTGTTCATTCTGTTTTATGACGAAATGTCTCTCATATGAGAGTTGATTAATTGAGCGAATTAATTACCTTACGTGTAACTTTTGTTGTTTAATACTGTCGAACCGAAAGTTCCCTTCCGCTGGTAATGTATCCAATTTTATTCACAAAAAAATACTCTTTGGAAACATATGAAACACTTGTTCAAGAACCACAAAGTCTCTACTTGTAGTATCTTAAGATTGGCAACTAAATTTTGTGCGTCAAAACTTTCCCAACAAAGCAATTTATTAAACATTAACAAATAAACATTCCTAATTAAAGTATGCACCATTAGAATCAATGATGTTTTGCCAAATTCTTAGCATCTTTCCGATCCCTCGGCAATAGAATTCTGACGTTTTCGAAGCAAAACTCTCCGGCAGGTGACTTATCATATCATCGACTTTGGCAAAGCGTTTTCCGACAGAGAATGCTGCACAGATCTGAAAAGATGATGAACACTCGGAGCAGCATCTGGGCTTTACGGTGGATGAATTAAGCGTTCCCACCCTAATTCTTCAATCCTTTGCGACGTCAGACGCGCGATATTTGGACGAGCGATGTCTTGACGCCTCTTCGATAAAGCTCTCGCAGCCGAATTTGACGTGTTGGTGTCGCCTTCCGTAGATCAACTGCTTTGTGTTTAAGTGCTCCATATAGCTTGGTGTCGCTTCGATGGTAGAATGACCCAAGTGGAACGTGCAAGAGACGTTCACTACTTAGATTTTGACGTGTTCATTCTAGAGTAGGAGAAAATTTCATACAATTACAAAAAATAAAGCGGTCCACTTATCAAAAATCACAAGAAATCACAAGCTTTCGAATAACATAAAACGCGATAAAGAAGACCAGGAATCAAATTTATTATATATATTTATACATGAATATAACAAAAAAAACGACAGAATATAGCTACAAACGCGATACTACTGCAGAGATCGTTGTATGGGAGAAAATCTCAATTTTCAGTTAAAATCCACAATTTTTCCAACAAGCGATTCCACGCTTTGACAGCATTTCATCACGAGCGACTCATAAGAAGTCCTCGATGACAAATATCGATCGGAGATCAAAGGCGACCTCAGTATCGACAGCAAATTCGTTCCTCACAATCTCACTACTTCCGCAAATGTAACTAAGCAGTACCTTCGAATACACAATGGACCGGAGATCAGAACGCGACTTTATCGAAGGAGATGACACGAAATATCAGATGATGTCGAAATCGACTGCTTCGCGTGCTTCGCGTTGCGGTCTCCTTTTGTCTGGCATGTAGAGAATTGATTCAGCGACTCGCGTGGGATACGACGCACCGTCGCATAGGCTCATAGTCGCCATCAGTGTCCATGGTTATAACCCAGTATCAGAAAGGTACTGTAAGGTCCGGCCTTCCACTCGTGGTCGTGCCACAAACCTAAATCGTTGGAACGCCGATCCGCGATGGTGGCAGGCGTTATAGGTCATGTGAGGGAAGATCCGTTGAAACTCCTCGATCCTTGCTTTTCTTACGCAATAACGTAAAGTTACTCGAAGAGTGATTTCAAAAGAGACATCAATAGCGAAACCGGTTAAGCAGATGCCCTCGGAAAGGACAAAATGCGGGCTCCAGTCCCCTTAACGTCAAAATTACACATCACGTCAACATCAATGGATATATCTTCAACATCATATCACCTCTACAAAGCGGTTAAGTTTTAAAAAAATCTTGTCGATCTTAAAATTTATTCATTTTGCTGAATGAAGCGACGAGTTCCGCAGGTAGTTCTCAGAGCCATTTAGTTTTTAGTTATCTCGACAGTTAATAGTTACCTTTGCACGTGGAGAAGTGCTAATTGGTTTGTGGGGTTCCATTTGATTGCGGATGAGGGAGCTGTTTCAGCAAAATTTATCCCACATTCTGCAATGATAATCGTACAACTAGGGGCGCATTTAGCGCAGTGGCTAGAGGTGCGCTGCGTCGCACACAAGTCAATGGTTCGATCTTGTGCTAATGGCTCACCGAACAATCTATCACGCTGGGGTCGGGAAATTTGTACCAGACTAATCTCACACCTCTCTGGAAGACCAAGCAGTACCGACTCGATACAGCGAGAGCCCACGGCGAGTCATTGTAAAGGCCAGACATGCATTCAGTCGCCTCAAACGAAGTTAGAAATTGAAGACAAATGCATGGTGCATCCCTCAGGGATTGATCAACGTCGAGAGCTTTACCATTTATCTTCTATACATTGATCGCTTGTACGGTGTTACTATATGAGATATGGTGTGTTTAGTGTGTCAGTGATTTGAGCATACTCTAGTGAAAACAGGAAAGATAACGCCGAAAAACCACACTGAAATGTTGTGGCAAGATATCTAACCTGTAAGCTTCTACCCGATGGACGGATGCGAGTGGCAAAGCGGATTGAGGCAGACACTGATTGCCACATTTAAAGTGAGAATCCACACCAGCTAGGCACACCCAGGGTGGGTCTCGGTAGTTAAATGGTTAAATAGCTCCAGCAGTTCATAAACTTAAGTCGATTTTTGACTTTACTGGTTGTTCTCAAGCGCTGATGGATGTTACTGCTGCTTTATGTCCAGCTTTGATGTGTTCTTCTTGTTGAGCGATTCAGGGGTTATTGATGATTATGGTCACTGAGTTCAGTACTAATATAATGCAATTTTATTGTGCTGTATCATTACTGTACTCAATAGACATTACTTCAACGACGTTGGATCTGCTTGACATGAAAAACATTGAATTATTCGATCAGTGCACCGAGTGACTGATCGATAGTCAGTCCTGGAAATTGCTTCAAATTAGGAGTCTCAAAACAAATCGATCAGATTTCCTTGGACAAGAAACATTTAGACACATGAACAAGTATCACTTGAACAGGCACGTGTATAATACATACCCATCAGAATCTGAACTACATCATTTATAGGAGGAAATGCCACAAAATACTAGGTTCAAAACAAAGTTCCCATCGTTTGATAAAGCACTCAAAATTTATGCATATATTCAGGCAACAGGTTGGCGAGGGTCCGATATAATCGCGGCTTGTACGGCAATTTATTCCAATTCATAAATGTTAACCTCACAACGAGTGATCGCGTGCTGTCGTGCAGCATTAGTCCCTAAATAGCTTCCGGTGCATGAACTCTTAATCGAAATCGACTTTGTATAAAAAAAACCTTTATAAAAGGTTCGTTCGTGATAATACATTTCTTATGTAACGTCAAGACACCTTTGACACGTGTAAACTATATCTTTGATTACCAGTAAACCACCTACGGCGCCCAAGCGGTAAAATAACATTTTAGGTGTGAAATACAGTCTTCTTTTTGCTCTTACATAGTATTATGATAACTGTTCAAAAAACCAATTGCATTATCAAAATCCTTGAGATTTGCGTTATCGAATGACTACTAACTTTGGTAAAGAGCCATATCGAAGTCCAGCCGAGCAATGAAGCAAATTACATCGATGACAATAGGACGAAATAGGCGTCTGTATAGCACTAGACCTAACGGCTCAAAACATGTTATATCCTTATCAGAAGCAAACTGAGTGTGAAGAAAAATCTTATTTATGCTGCTGCAATGTAATAAAAGTCTTTTTCAAAAGTAGAACATATCGTTGAAATTGCAGAGATTTAAGCTTCCGAATGATTACTGGATGTCTAGAGAAAGATTTTTATACAGCAAGAAAGGCCCTTCAAATAATCGTGTATCCTATATGGTACACGTGGTTCCGTATGAGTTAATGATTGTCCTCAAGCGCTGATAGAGTTACTGCTGATTTATGTCCACGTTAGACGTGCTTCTCTTGTTGAGCAATTTATGGTTGCTGAAAATAATGGTCACACAGTGTAACAGTAATATAATGCAGTAAAAGTGGTCTAATTTTATTGTGTCGTATCACTACTGTACTCGATAAACATTACTTTCATAAACACTGGATTTGATTGACACGAAAAACACTGACTTATTCGATCAATGCATCGCTTGATCGATAGTCGGTCCTGGAAACTGCTTAAATTTGAAGTCTCAAAACGAAACGATTGGATTTTCATGAACCACATACATCTGAAAGCGATTGAAATCGTTGTAAACTTACTCTAGACAAGTTTTACACCAAAGATAGTCAAGCAAAAATGAGCCTAGAGTCAACCACAACCCTCGTCTTGGATTCAATTCGTTGCCTCGCATTCATCGTGCATACAGGTCTTCAAGCATTTCACCTATAACTTCGACTGCTAGAGGATTTCCTCCTCTTTATTTCTATCATAGAATGCTGCTCAAGACGATTCTTCTTACAATCTCAACACAACTCGACGAGCTAAGGCGTTCGTTGATCGACATCAAGGAAGGATTGGGACAGGTGTCGAACCAGCACCTCGCTTCTCAATAGCCTGCGTCAATCACTTGGTCACGGCTCTCCGGTCTTCAAATGCTTCGGAAAAGATTGGAAACTTGTGAACAATTCCGTGACTTCCTTTTGTACAGTAAACACGAGGCTGTTAATACACGTTAATTTTGCACAAAATACCACAACAGAGCTCGGATCGGTGGCTAACGTTTCGGCAGTCTTGCCTTGTTCACAGCCTGGATGAGTCATATTGACGTGCATCAACTTAGCCAAACACTTTCATAAGCGAAGCAGAAGAAAAAAAAGAGAAAGATCTGAAGCAATACTTAAATTTCTAGTATTTTCAGTGCATTTTTCGCATCTTGTTATGATGTTTCATTATTCCCAGGAGAACTGAGTGGTGAGTAAAATCACGACCTCACGCGGAAGTCGAACCCGCGTTTTCATGCACAGCGGGGAAGCGTGCTACCACTACACCACCAGGTGCATTCGAGCTACCACTCATTCTTCAACATCTTCAACACTCAATTCTCTTAGGAATATATGAAATAGCATAACACTGCGAAAAATGCACTAAACATATCAGAAATTTCGAGTATTAGTTATTACAATGGCTCCCAGCTCAACTGGGTTTATAAAGCGAATTGCATACCCGACAAACCTGTTAAAGATTGGTGGCGACCAGCTAACAAAGAGATGAAGTGGCGCGAATGTACCTCGGTGGTGTAATTAGCACGTGTCTCCGGTATGGATGAAATGCGGGTTCACTCCCGCTTGAGGTCGTAATTTTGCTCATCACTCAGTTCTCTTAGGGATGTATGAAACAATTGAGTAATTTCAAAATCGTAAAGTAATCAGCCTTATTTGACCATTGTTTTGCTGTTTCGCTATCCACTAGATGATTTTTTAACCAGCCTCTCTGGATTCCTACGTTGACGAGGCGTGTGCCTGGCTCAGATCCATAAAAATCGATCCAAGACATGGAGCGAGATCACACGCTATTGGAAGGCATTCATCTTTTCAATTTATATCCGGATTTTGGGGATGGATCCAAAACGTCTTAAGGACTTTGCGAGCCGAGGTTTCACGCTCATGAGCAAGGCAATTTCCTCCGATATTGAAGGATAGTCGGCCGAGAGAACTTGTCAACACTCAAGTATGAAACTGTGCTCCACGAAAGTACGTGGTATGCAAAATGCGCGCGAAAATGAATGATTCAAAATGTGCAGTGGATGGAAGCCAAGTTACTGAACTTCGTCTCTCTTTTTATTCTCGAGCTGGTTGTATTTTCTTTTTCTTTTCATATAAATAAATACAATACAATATGCAATATATAATATACAATAACAATATAATGTCAATATGTACAATAATTAAATAAATTATAAATAATTATTAAAATAAATAGTACAATAATAATATATACAATAGTAATATAATATACAATATTTCTTTGCTTTTCTGTCCTTCTGCTTCATCAGTGAGTTGGTACGATGTTTTTATTGAACTAAAATTCTTTTAAATAAATTAAAAAAATATTCCTTCTATGAAGACGCGCATGGCGAAATAGATGACTTTGGAGAGCGATCGATTTGGCAGGTCAATCCATCTGTGAGAAAATGAAGATGTGAAAATGTGTTTCTCGAGTAACTCTGCGGTAACAACCAAGTGAGAAGTCATCAATAAAACCGGCTATTATCGATTGATCGAGCTAAGGCCAGATCAGTAAGGCCGGACATTATCGATTGAGCGGGCCTAGATCAAGCGAAAGTTAGTTTAAGAAAATCACAGCATCACTCGATGTCACTCTTCCTCCTCTTCTTTTTACTCCCCGATCTCACTCATCCCCCTCCTACTGAGAAAACCTCCGCGTCTAAGTGTAGACCAATCGAGCGACGCTGTGACTCATTTGATCTACCTGATATGTTCCTTTTCTTTTTGAAGTCTTCAATTGATATGATTTACTTTTCTGTTATCAATCTGCCTTCTAGCCGTTGTTCTTACTCACTAACGACGAAATGGTGCAGTCTCGAACAATTGTATTTCACAACTATTTCCAGCTTAAGAATTGTTTTTCTGTGCTCTGGAGTGAATACGTCCAATGAAGTGGTGCTGAGTCTTTCAGGAGGTTGCCCAGTAATGCAGTCAGATAGGAAGAAGTCAATGGGAGTTCCCCGATTGAGCGTGCCGAGCTCGTCGATGAGGACTCCGACAGGACCACGGTTCACTATCGGTGGCACACAGATCCACTCGTCATCGAAAACGTGAGATTTCAGATAGATTGAGTTCAATCTTTTCTTAGTTCATTTCTACTGAATGAAGACAGTGTGGAGACAGACACTTGTTGTTGTTTACTTGTGATGTAAGTGATTTTCAACCACCGATATGGGCGAGGTTTGTGATTGTTGAAATGATATTATTTCATCTAACTGCCATTAACACTCCCGGGCCCGTGGACCCACGGCCTAGGTGTCTCTAACCCCCAGCCTGCTATGTCTAACAGTGGCCACTGAGTCAGGGATGTAGTGGACGTGGGGCAGACCGTCCTAGTTACCAATTAGTGGTGCAGAGGCCGTCGGTCCACGATCCTGAAGTTGTTGGAACGACCGCGAAGGTACGCGCTATGTTTCGCTTTAGTTTTTATGCAAGTCATACTCATTTTCAAAAGAACTCATCACTGTCATTATATGAGAGAGACTGGCTGTGAAATACTCTGCTTTTTTTTCCTCAGGAACGTTGACGGTGGGAGTCAAGCTCGGTTCAGTTTTGGTGGGCCGATTCCAGCCAGTGCTCGAAGACATTCGACCTTCAGAGCCATCACGCACAATGTAAAGGTGAAGATTTACTTCGTTCACCGATTTTCGAATTTTTTCATTGTGATCTTTAATCGTCGACTCGATGGCATCTCTCAATCGATCCAGTGCTCTTGTAGGATACGAGACCATTGTCATCCAAAGAATATCAAAATGAAATGGTTCGAAAGGTGTACAACTTTCTACTGCAGCATGACGGAGAGGTATATATGTCATACGTGAGCTTTCCAACTTTATTCTCAATATTTCCCCTACATTTTGTTTAGAACTGTATGCCTGAAAGAGTCATTAGATCGCCGACGAAACAGGACTTCATCTACATGTTCGAGAGTATTTATCAGCATTTGAGTCCTGATTTTCAGCTCAAAAATGTCAACGATGAGGTGAGCAGGACAGTTGTTCGGAATCCTTTTAGAATGTTTCTCGATATTTTTTAGCGAAGGAAAAATCGTCAGGAATTCTCTTTATTGAACCGCTTTTTTAGCAGTGGTATGATCTTATAGATATATCAAGTGGCTTCTTTTCAGTTATGAGGGGACAAATGAAAAGTCGATCTCATTCATTGGAGAGGCACCTTTCATAAAAGTGTTGGTGACCAATCAAGAACTGAGACTTCAGGCTATAGACCCACGTCGCCGGTTTTCGAAAAAGCCTTTTTTCGACGTTGCTACAGGAGGGGATTTCTTGCATTGTAGCACGCCTATTCTTCTCGGCGGATAGAGCTCTTTCTTGAGACTATCACTATCCTTCGATAGCGTAATCGCTTTTGTTTCCAACGCTGTGTTCATTTTCTACGAAGAGCGTTTCTCTTCAGTGCAGCAGGGAGATCTGACATCAATCTGAGAGTAACAAACCGTCAACGGTTTGGCCTGGCAAGCCATATCGACATTGATCCCAGTTAAGCTGACACGGAAATCCAGGATTCTTCGTTATTGTATACATTGTGCATAGGTACCGGCGATTTTCCGAGAACTCGGTTACCCGAATCTCATCAGACCGAGTACGATGCAAACCATTGGTGCCTCACACACGTGGCCTAACCTGCTTGGGGCACTCACATGGCTTATCGAAGTGGTCGAGGTGAGTGCCATATCATTTCAGAACTTAAAACTCTGTTTTCTGTAGCTCTGCTCATTTTTCAGGTCAGTCATTCGCTTCAAGGACAGGTTGGTCAAAATCTCCTATTAGGTGGAGACGACTCGGATGGCGCATTGAAAGCGGTGTGTTGTGTTCTATTCAGGCGTACAACACTGTTTTTTTTTTGTCTATTTGAGAGATGTCTGCCCGATTAGTCGGGAGGACACATGGCGCGTCCCCAGATGGTCGGATGGGGGAATTGAATATGAATTAAAAGCGATCGTGTGTTTTCTAGCGACACACGTGGATTAGGTGATGGACTCCTTATTTCTGTACTACCGACATGGCAGACTTTCATCCCTACCAATCAAATTGGCTAAAGCCTGCAATTTAGCAACTATGAAGTGCGGGGTTAGGAGTCGCCTTCAACAAACGAGCTTCTCCTGTTTCTCCGGAAGAGACTAGCAAGCCACCATGTGTATTCAGCCCCACGCTCAGAGCTCATCAAGTTGTACGTTGATTAAAATGTTGACAACATTAGTAAAAATGGATCTCATTCCGCTGGCCCCGAAAAAGCTCTGGTACGGCAGCGTCGGGTAGGATGAGTACGGGGAGGCTGCTATAGCCTCAGGGCCAAATTCGGCTGCCAAATCGAAACGGGCTAATGTAATTATTTGTACCTACATCGCACTACACTTACGTACAAATGCTTTAAAAAGAGTTTTCAAAAGAGCTTTTGTTGATTGGGAAGTTCACTGTGTTATTTGTATCTCATAGATTTGACTTTCTTGATTTCTTTGAAAAGTAAACTAATCTCAAGGTTTGATTATTGGTTGGATTGGACGCAATAGACATTTTTTAACTTCTTTCAGTACAAATATAGTTGGTTGAATGCAGGATATAAGGAGTATCAAATGAATAGAAATGCGATAAACAACGAGGGTTTCTTCGATGGTTAGTCTACTGACAAAATTCCTTTCATTATTACTCTCACGTCCTCTGTGATTCGGCTCTCACTGATCTTTCAGATAAGGTCACAGCACTTCGTACTTGGTGCGAGCAGCAAGAGGATTTCGATGCTCAGCAGCAGGTCATACGAGCTGCACTCGACCAAATAAAAGAGGAGTGTGAAGAGATGGAAGCAGATGTGAGTCGTTCAAATGTCGATTTGGGGAGATGCGTCGTTGTTTCATTTATGACGGCGCAGATTTAGCAAAGTCAAAAAAAATGCTGCCTCCGTAAACTTTTGATTGTTCCAGTATGATTTTATCTTAGAATTTTGCGGTTTGCTCACTTTCAGAGAGGAAATCTGGAACGTCTCCGTGAAGATATTACTCGTTTGGACGACGACATCATCAAAGCTGCTGAATACATGGAAGAAACGGAGCGCGATCTTAGTCGATTAAGGGAGGACTATGTGCGATTTACGGAGAGCTCCATTACTCTCATTTTTCCTCGCTTTTCCTCTAGTTGATCGTTTTCGTATTCAATGATCCAACTGATTTTTCTTTAAGAATCTGGTGGAAATGGAACTTAAGACTGTTGCTGAAACAGTGAGAGATGAACGAGCCCGTCTTGGTGAGCTCGAGGAACTA